CTTTTTTACAAAAATGTCGTATTTTTTTATTTTTTATATATATTAACTAATATCTAAGGCACTAATATTATTTCTAAACAATCTTTTCAAAATTATCAAGTTACTATCAGAATGTTTTAATTAATTAGTATACACAATATACTTCAGGGGGAGTAAAAGACAATTGTGCAGCAAAATAAATTGACCTTTAGACCTAGAAACATAAATTGACCTTTAGAATTGACCCTTGTAAAGGCCATTTATTTTAATTTCAAGTGGTTTGACAGTACATAATAGCGGAATATATTTTAATAACAATGTTGGGATTTTAGGTCAAATAATATTTAAGAAATAGGACCTTTGTACTCACTAAAGGTTGTAAAGGTCAATTTCATTTAGTCTTGCTGATAATCCATGATAGTCACATTTATTTTTGTAATAATGAGAATGTTATAGGTCAAAGTACAGTTAAGAACATTGACCTTATTAGTCTTTAAGGGTTTTTAAGGTCAATTTTGTTAACTTCCTTTTACTGCATTGAAAATACATAATCGCTATATTTATGCACTTATTTTAGACTTATCACACTGATATAAAACTAATATTGGCAGAAATGAAAAGCGTTGATGAATTAAAAGAATTATTCACATATATATATATTATTACTATTTATTTATCTTCAAGGCTTTTCAACTCCGATACATGTAGTCTAACTAATTTATAGAGTCACATCAAAAATGGTGCGTCTCTCGAGTTATCGGTGGAAAATACAGTCTTTTGGAAATTCGTGGGTACACTTTAACACATGGTAGGTGATGGTATAGTGGTTGTCTGGTATATGGTAATAAGATAATAAAACTAACATATATATTTTGTCATGAATTCTTTTAGGGGTTTCTTAGAGCACTTAACATTGCTGTAGTGGGGTTTTAGAGGTTTATGAACGCAAGCTTTTGAAGGGTCAAAAGATATTTCATTTGGAGGGTCAAAAAATAAACTAAAATCAGTGTACATTTAAAACTCAGTCTTCAAAACAAGGAATTAAATTAGAACTAAAAAATATAGAAAATTACAAGAAAATCTTTTTTTTTATGTAATAGGGGGCAAATGAGGAGACGAGTCCTGTAATTCAAGAGATACAAGTGCGTTGCCGTACCCAGGATTAAGGCGGTGGAAGGGGAATAGTGGCCCCCACTATTCCCCTTCCACCGCCTTAATCCTGGGTAGGGGGGTTATTTGACGTCCTGTAACCTCATATACTCGGCAGATATAAGAATAACAACGAAATGATTACTTAACATCAGTTTTTTTATATTGAGGCGTGGTACCACTCCAGCCGGTGGAGCCAGCCCATATGCGTGGGAGGTACTTCCACGGCTTAAAAAATTCTTGTGAGATTGTTTTTTTATTAACTTCTACTGTAAATGTGTAGTTTTTAGATATCTATGTTACTGATTTATTAGTAAAAATTTTTGATAAATTGCCTTATAAGTTTTCACGTACCCTCATTGTAAAATTATGAATAAGTACGGTAGTTAACCCGATCAAACAATAGGAGGCAGGAGGAAAATAGGATGTGGCCACGGCCAGTGCAATTCGGTCGAAACCTCGGGCTATTCAAAAGCACTTGATGGTGGAAAGACACCTGCAACTTAAGAGACACAAGTGCGTTGTCACCATTTAAGTGCCCGAATCCCAGTTTTGAAGAGGGGGCTGGATTTGGGAGGGGGGGGGGGGGGGTATTCAAGTTCGGCGATTAGCAAGGATAGTATAACTTAACACCGGTCTTCTGTGAGCTTACGTGCCGTTTAATACCTATTAAGTAACGACATTAACTCCAACATAATTCGTTCAAGAACATTTGGTTTTTACCATATGATTTGTTTATGAAAAGGAAATCCAAAAAAAAAGAAAGACATTATGGCCTTAGGTACTAAAGGTGGGTATAATATACAATTAATTATTAGACAGACAACTCTATAATAGTCCATGAGTTTAAAACTGGCTTGTTAGTGATCTTGACTGCTGGGCCAGAGGTCATGGGTTCGATTCCCACTTAGGACAAATAGTTGTGTGATGAGCACGATCATTTGTTCTGTGTCTGGGTGTAATGTATTTAGTCTATACATATAAAATTACGTGCTCTGATTCATCAATGCAGAGGTTAAACCGGAATTTCACCCCCCCCCCCCCCCCTAAAGGGATGGATGGATTTTAATGAGGTCTCATCAATAGAGACAGTGATTCAAGGGGACGGTTTATATTTATAATACATGTATATTATAGCAGAGAAAATTCCAAAAATTCAAAGATTTGTAATGTGATGTCGTAAAAATCGCACCCGTGCGAAGCCGGTCCCGGTCACATCATCACATCAATAGCCTTTTTTTTTTAAAGACATCTCTCGCACTAGGAATAAATCCCCTGTCGCTGGGGACATGGGACTACAAACATACATGAAACGGACACAAAGAACAACCAGACTTGGAACAACAATTTGTGTATCACACAAGTGTCCCATGTGGGGATCGGACCCACAACACTTAGCGTAGTAGAGAGCGGCGTGGCGACCGCTTAAACTACTACGCTATCCGTGTAGTCTTTAAAAGTCCACTGCTGGACATAGGCCTCTCCTTAGAAAGGAGGGTTTGGCCTACGCTAGCCAGACGGGTTGGTAGGCTAGTTATTAATATATAAGTATGTTTATCAGCAGTCTGGTTACTATAATACAGGCTCTGCCTGGTTTGGGACAGACAGACAGGAGAAGTCTATACTCATGGATTATTTTAATTATTAATTTCGTTGTGTGTCTTTAATAATGACTTATTATTTAATAATACAGTCTTATTATACAATTCCGCTGAGAATATGCTTAAAATTTAATAACATACATATAAAATGAAAGTTTTGCTGGTAAATTTGCCTCCTTATAAATGAGCGATGAGCCTATTGGTTAGTGACACTGACTGCTAAGTCAGAGGTCGTGGGTTCGAGTCCCAACCAGGACAAATATTTTTGTGATAATCATTTGTTTTGTCTGGGTAATATAAAAAAATAGGTAACGTACCAGTACTATGAGACCAATTTTTACTATTCCTCCCCCCCCCCCCCCATCTCAGTTAACACCCCTTTATATGGCAAGATCCACGACGACTACCATAGTACATGTCAAAATTCCCTCCCTTGATCTAGTTTTTACGTTACTTCATAAAAATAGTTTTTAATATTTTTTTACAACCTGAAGGTTTCAAAATGACTATCTCTCCCCTTGAATGGGTCGCTTAGTATGGGTACATTAGCTTTTGCCCGCGACTTCGTCCGCGTGGTGGTCGACAAGATATCGTAGAGGACACCCTTTTTTAAGGGTATTTTTGAAAAATGAGTAGGTTCAGCTGTGCGTTGATCTATCAGTCAGTGAATTAGTCTATCAGTTTTTTCTTTTGTAAATATAAATGTATTTATACATAATTACATGTATGTTACATGTATGTCCGTGTGGTGACGGATTAAGAATACAGATTGTCACCACCCCTATTCATCCCGTGGGTGTTGTAAGAGTCAACTAAGGGAAAAAACTACGCAGAACAACAACACTGCAGAGAGAAGGAAAACTTGACACAAACCCTATACCAACCCGTCTGGCCAGCGTGGTATAGTAGGCCAAAACCTCCTTTCTAAGGAGAGGCTTATGTCCAGCAGTGGACCATTAAAGGCTGTTGATGATGACATGTATGTTTGTTACTCATCACGACAGAACGGCTGAACTGATCTGGATGAAATTTTGTATAGAGATAGATTATAGTTTAGAATAGCACATACGCGAGTAAAGCCACCGGTAAAAGTTATGTATGTACAATCAAATTACATTATAATATTTTATCTCTGTATCAACCGGGACGTTTTTGATCAGGATAATTATATTATTTTTGATAATTATCAATAAGAAATCAAGATAATCACGTCTGAATGATTAGGATAATTATTATTATTGATAATTATCAAAAGATGTGCGATTATTTTCAATAATTATTAAAAAAAATCAATGAAAATCAAAATTGATGCAATGCGAAAAAAAATATCATGACCTTGGCTTGTAACAACCTGTTATAAGATTATTCATTTATTCTAGTGGTGACGGATTAAGAACACGGAGTGTCACCACTCTTATTCATTCCGTGAGTGTTGTACGCAGGACAACAGCACTGCAAGGAGAAGGAAAATTTGACACAAACCCTATACCAACCCGTCTGGCCAGTGTGGTATAGTAGGCCAAAACCTGCTTTCCAGGCATAAGTTCAGCAGTGGCTAATACCGTATATGCTAATCTATACATATAAAATTCCTTGCCCTGACTGACTGATTCATCAACGCAGAGCCTGAACCGCTGGAGCTTGCTGGATGCTTTTTATGTTATAAGTACCCACTAAAAAAGGATATTTGGCAATTTTACCAATCATCATCTGCCTACCCTTGGCGAAGTAAGTATGATTTTTCGATTCTACTCTATAATTCGTCATCTCACTATTTATTCCCTTCCTAGCCTTATCCTCACTCACACAGTCCATCCACCTTTTCTTTGGTCTTCTTTTTCTCTTGTACCCTTCAACTCCCATACCTAACACTATCTTGGCCACATTTTCCTCATCCTTCCGCATGACATGTCCATACTAAGATAATCTATTACTTCTTAACTTTTGATCCAGTGGCGCTACTTAATTCCACACCTATGTGGGTAAAATAAAGGACGAATTTTTCTATGGGAGATCATCATTTTTTAAGTTAGAAATTATTGTGTGAGCGAAGCCGTGGGCAATATCTAGTGAGTGTATTAATAGAAGACAATCTAAAAGAATTATGATGAATTTTCCATAATGATTTTATTAAACTGCTTTATCAGTAACTAACCAATAGTAAATATATTTATACCTGTTCATTACTATTAATAATAATCGCAATAAATTATTAACAGAATCTCGCCTGAATATTTCAGCAGAATAATAGTATTATTAAAAAAATAAATCTTAAGCTACATTTTCATCTATCACCAAATTATCATCATCATAATGATCACTTATGCTACTATCACATTCATTGTCATAATTATTGCTAGCAACACCACCTATATAGCTTGCCATACTTGAAAAACTTACCATTAATTGTTTCTCAAATATATTAGTATTAAAAATATTTTTTTCTACAGTATCCTTGAGCAGGTTTGCCAAAATTGGATTTGATTTTAGCATCTCCGGTTTGAGGGTATTCAGATCAAAATTTTCTTTACCTGTTTGAACACCATTTTTGTCTGTTTTATGTGACCGTTTATGTAATAGGAAGACATCGGGGTCTTTGAAACACTTGGAACAATCATTACACTGGTAAGAACTCATATTATCTGTAGTCTTTTGGTTAAGGTGCAGTTCCTCTTGTTGTAAACTGTGAGTGTCTTTCTCATGGTCCGTTTCTGCTGATTCATTTTGTGGTGGTGATGTCTGTGTGGTAAGGCTTTCTGGTTGGTCTTGGGTGGATGGTGGTTGGAGACCTGGAACATAGAAGAAGAAATTAACACAATCACATCTGTTCTTCTGAAGAAGCATCCAAATCGCTTGTAAATTGAGTTGAGTTTGCAGACTAAGCATGTTAAGTGGATACAACTAAAATTTAAATACAAACCAAACCTTAGCTAAAGTACGAATATCTGGACAGACATCAGGCAACCGTCTGATCCAGACCTAAGTAGAGACTGCATTATAGTGACCAGACTGCTGATGAACATACTTTTACTACAGATAAATTACACCCAAACACAGAATAAATAATTCTGATCATCACACAATTATATGTCCTGTGTGGAATTGAACTCCGGTCAAGTTGGACTTAACTGTTAACTGTTCCTGGCACTTCACGAGTGCCGTTACTCGGGGTATTCGTGAGTCATTGCTGTTGATCCTGGTGAACTCGAGTTAAAGTGGTGAGCGTGTGGCAAGAACTTGAGTGTCTTGAGTGACCTTAAAAGGCTGCTTTTAAAATGGTGTGGAATTACGGTGTCATATATGTTTAGTAGTATAAAATAATTACCGTTGCATAAAGCGTTGAGGTTTAATGGAACTGTCACTCCTGCAGCTTGCATGGCGAGCATGGTATTCATGTAGATTGCCTGTGCGAGTTGCTGTTGTACCTGAAATAGGAATATTATTTAGAATAATTATAACTATCGACGGATTAAGAATAAGAAGTGTGACCACCCCTATTTATCCCGTGGGTATCGTAAGACCCGAGTAATGGAGCAAACTACGCAGGACAATAGCACTGTAAAGATAAGGAAAACAAGAGGCTTCGAGTCGTCCGTCAATACACTACGGCGAGCACTTCCGCCTCCAAATCTCACGGGTGAGTTCCAGCTCTATTTTGGGCGGTCAGAGCCGCTGCCTACGCAGGTGCGCCGTACAGTGCCATTAACCGGACAACCCCCATGTACAGCAGTCTAGTCGCGACGCTGGGTCCAGACAGATTAGGCAAAAGTCGCCCAAGGGCAGACGCCGACCAGCTTTCGAGCAAGCTGTCGAAGGCCCAGATTCTTCATCTGGGCCTGAACCAGTAAAAGGACCGAGTTGACAGCGATTGAGGCGCCAGGGGGAGGACCACGACGGGCCCAAGAAATAAGAGGGCCTCCGTCTTATCCTGGTAGCCAGGCGTGCCGCCTCTTGGAAGGAGGACTATGATGGCAAAGAGAACCCTCTCAAACAATACCCGATCAAACACAATGGGCCCGTCTCGGCTTTCTCAATAGGTCCAGCTTCCCGCTCTAGTTGACACACCCTATACCAAACCGTCTCTCTAGAGTATAGCTAGGAGAGGCATATTCCAGCAGTGGACTATTAAAGACTGATGATGAGAGGAAAGATCGACGAAGGCACTCTTGAACATATTTCCTTCTCATGCCCTAAATTAGTTGTACCTCTCTACGATCTACTCCCTCACCAAATATCCTGACCCGTTAATTTGGCATATCTCTTACTCTAGTTCATACTCATCCAAAAATATACCTCCCACCCTGACTTTAGCATCATTGATATCCGATGGAACCATTGAAATAAAGATTAAAAAAAGATGTTGACAACTGCAAATGCACTAACTAAACAGTGTTACTATTATAATATCATCAACATCATTATCATCAACAGCCTTCAATAGTCCTCTGCTGGACATAGGCCTCTCCTTAGAAAAAAGGTTTAGGACTACTATACAGCGCTTTCCAGACGGTTTAGTATAGGGTTTGTTTCAAGTTTTCCTTCTCTTTGTAGTGCTGTTGTCCTGCGTAATTTGCATAGATGAATAGTGGTGGTGACACTGCATAATCTTATCCGACAGCACACGGATATTATAATATATTTAAGAAATAATAACTCTTACCTGCGGATCTAAAGTTGGTACATTATTCGGGACATTACTCATCCAGGCACTTGACTGTTTTCTTTGATATGGTGCTGGTGTGTCTGAAGGTAAGTTTTGTGATGGGATTGCATCTTTGCGCAGAGTTCTCCACTGGCCTGAAAGCAATACAATACTAGTTAATGTTGGTACTAAGATTTTATTTCCACCATATGCAGAATGACGCAGTGCACCAAATGTTGTCCTCTCCATTGCTCTTTGGGTCACTTTGAGGTGGGTCCTCATAGCCCGACTATGGTTCTGTGCCATAAGTTATCACTGGTTACACACTGGGGAAAAGCCGTTGAATGCAGGCAGCACAGGACCAGTTGTTGTGGCGAACCTTGGGAGGCTTATGGCCAGCACAAGACATGTTCTAGCATAATAATTCAGTAATTGAGTCATTTCCCATTTTTTAAAGTCCACTGCTGGATTAGATCTCACCTTAGAAAGGAGATTTTGGCCAACTATACCAGGTTGGCTTGGCGGCCAGACCAGCTTGGTAGGTAGGTATAGTGCTTGTTACAAGGATATTGCATGTGTTACACGCAGAAGATAGCATGCCCAGTTTTGACACAAATGGGTGTGTTTACGTGTTATTTGCAGTAATCATCTTGGCTGTTTTAACAGTCACTTAAAACACATCCTCATTTACCCTCATTTGAAGTAGAAACTTACATGATATTTGCCAAGAACATTGCGTGACAATTATGAATGGGGGATGAGAGTCGTACTACTTTTACGGACATCACAGAGGGACGAGGTGGCTTTTTTGTCTGTACTTAACACAGTCTTTACTTGCATTTTAACATTCTTGTCACAATGGTATGTTGTAAAAATGTTAGTGGACCACAGAAACATGGTTTAAAGCTAGTGGTTAAAGTGAAGGTTTACAATTTGTAGTAAACTATTAAAAAATATCAATTTCAAAGATAAAATAAATATTGCTAGTATTTTAGACATTTAATTATCTTTCATAGTTAACTAGTGACTGCTAAATTTAAAACAATATACAAAAAGTTATAAAAAAATACCACAACAACTTACCTTTATTTTTTCCGGCGCTGGTTATAGTATAATCCTCGGGTTTAAAATGTAGACTGCACACTTTAGAATATTTTGTATAAGGTTTCCCTCGTCTTAAAATATCATTCCACAGTTTCGCAAGTTCTTCATCTCGAGGGAACTGATGAAAAGAAACATTCTTCGCTTTGCCAGCCATGGACGTGCATCGCGGCACTGTGCAATAATAAGGCATCTTGTTAACACAAAACTCGCTCAAACACACAAATTAACATATCTATGTAAATATACTGTTATTAATACAGTTGTATTTTATAAAAACAAACAAAACTTCGCACATAAACACCAAGCTTCGACATTTATCATACATCAAAAGAGAAAAAAAATTGAAAAGGGATACCCACATGAAAATTATTTTTGTTGTCTATGATCGACTAAAGAAGTTGGATAGTGGCTAGTGCCATCACAAGCCACTTTCAAACTTCTTTAAAAAAATAATTTTAAAAAACACGTTGAGTTAAAAAAAATACTTTAAAAAAACTAAAAAACACGCTTTTTATAACAAATCTTTTTTTTTTAATTATTGTATTGTCATCGGTCCTCGATATATCTACAAAGTTTGAACGAATTCTGACCGTTTAAAGTCAGTCAAAATCACGTCCAAAGGAGTCGGTTACAAACAAACATACAAACATACAAGTGAAGCTGATATAAAGCGTGTAATAAAAAAATACATTTAAACGTAAATTACTTATAGAGTCAGTTCGGAAAAAGAACCGGCGTGGCGTTTATGCGAACCAATAACATGATTTAGGTATGACAACACAGACACTTATCAAATGTCGAACTTGTTTTCGTGTGTAATATGGTCGTCTGTCTGTCGCTGAAGGCGGTGGGCTGGAGTGAAATATTGCTTGGATCAGTTCAGCACACCGAGCTTCTTCGAGGCCAATTTGATCTTACCCTCTAAGTGACCTGAAACTGGACTTCGCTCGATATGTCGATGCCTAGGATTCCGATGCTGACTGAGGCAGTTAGAGAGTTGCTCTCAAACCGAGGTGATACGACAAATGGTACCTTCTTTCGCGGTGAACGCACAGACCTGTGTCTTTTTTGGTCTTTTCCGCTAAGGAAGTTTCAATTTCAGACAGAAGTTTGTTTCGACTCTCGATGACGTTTTCCCGAGTAATATTAGAGTGGCCGGTGTAAAGGGCATCTCCGGTGCTATCATCTACATAGCAAAGGATGCTACTAGTTTGCAACATGTCATTGATATGCAGAAGAAACAGTTAACTTTTTATTTACTTCAATAATTAACGCGATTTAGATGCGTTATGTGCTACTTACATTTTTGGTTGTTTTTTTTATCGATACAAAATACTAAGTATATCCAGTGTACTTATCAGTTAAACACAATGTATTGTAATAAATGTCTTGATTTATTGTCAATAATAAAAAAAACACTAGTTTACAAATGGTCAAAACATACATTTAAAAAAAAATACAGGTCTTTGAAAATATTAATAAATTGAAAGACTTAAAACAGAAGGAGTTGTTCTCAGAAACTCAGAAGATGTATTTAAAAGGAATCACATCAATGACTGGTAAATCTTGGTATTAAAATTTTTACCAAAAATTCACTGTTATATCACAGTCAATGCTGACAGATTTACAGTGTAGTTACCTACACTGTAAATCTGTCAGCATTGACTATATATACATATGGCAGTTCTTATACTTACAGAATAATGATTTGTAATATGACTTTTGTATATTTTTGCAGGTGTAAGTTTCTCTACATTGTTTTACTACACAGGTTTTTTCAGAACTTCAGGAAAAAAACGCATTCACCGTTCTTTGGTATCTCACGCAGTACTCACTTGAACTCGCAGACATATACCATTAATAATAGGGCATTGGAGGAGGTTGCAAGTGTCAGGGACTTGGGAGTTGATTTCGATGGCAAAATTAGATTCCACCCTCACATTGACAAAATAACAACTAAAGCATTTAAAGTGTTGGCTTTGTTATAAGGAAGTCTAAAGATTTTAAAAGACTAAGATTAGACTTTTTTCGGCCTTGGTTCGATCTGGTCTGGAATATTGTGCTCAGGTCTGGTCACCACACTACTAAGTATATATCAAACGTCTCGAATGTGTCCAAAAGCGTTTTCTCTGGCACCTTTCATACCAGTGCAATAAAGTAAAACTGCTGCTTACTTATGAAAGTCGTTTAAAGCATTTTAATCTCCAAAGTTTGTTCGATCGTGGGCAGTTATTGGATCAGATTTTGCTTTACAAATTAGTTAACGGTGACTTAGACTGCCCCATTCTTGTTGAGAAAATAAATATAAATGCTCCCTCAAGGTCTCTCCGTGCCAATAAATACGCTCCTTTTTCAATAAAAACTTCTAAAACCAACTTGGGTCAGAACGCTACTATGAATAGACTACAAAGCCAGTATAACAAGCTGACGAAAAATCGTGAAATTGATGTAGACATCTTCTCAAACAGTCTTCCAAAATTTAAAAGCAAAGTTATTGCGTCATTTGGCCTTCTTAGATCATCACTGTCTTTAATTAATTTCTATGATGTTCTGTATGCTTTGTATATTATTATAGATATTGCATTGTAATCTTAGATGTAACTGTCCCTTACCATGCCGTGGCAACTTGTAAGTAAGACAACACCCAGAAAATATTTGTAAAACATGTTTGTAAATTATGTATTAGTGTATGTTTTGTAAGTTGTCCTAAATAAATAAATAAATCTAAGCTTGCTTGTTTTGGTATGCAAGCCATCAGAAACAAAATAAACTAATTTTATGGTGAGTAAAAGCAAATGAGAATTAGAAGTCTTCTGACAGATTTAAGGCAAAGCAATAGTTTTTCAGCTTGTCGAGAAACATGAAGGCAAATACTATTAAAAAATGACAATTAATTTAAAGAGAACGTACAATAGTAGTGAATGCGTTCATATGTCTTGAATATGTGTGTTCATATCTGATTTTACCACAGTTCTACAGTTGTGGAGGAACGGATGTCATGACAATGACATCTAACGACTGATGTCTACAAGACAAGTCGGACTTTACAGCTAGAAGGCGACGCATTTCTTAAGACTCGCTCTGGAAAGAAACGCCCAAACAAACATCAGAGTTGTCTTTTTTTTTATGTCCGTGTACAATGTTAACGAGAACTATGGTCCTTTTGAAGAAAAGACCATAGTATTGATTCAGCCCGTTCATACAGACCGCATACGAGCCCCAGCCATTGTATATATGCTAATTGGTTAGAGAATTGTTAATATTGCAATACAAGATTAGCAGCAACTCCGTAGTTTGGTGTGCCTTCGTTAGATGGTACTGTAGTATATTTTTTCGTTTTCTAGTAGTTTTATAGGGAATGAAAAAATCATTTTCCTTTGGATTAATATATACTGGTAATATAATAATAATATTCTGACAAACGACGTTATCTATTTTAGAACTAAACAGAGCTTGAACTACGAAAGTTAGATTCTGTGTTAAAGTATGGATTAGTATCTGCTGACCTGTTATGACTTAGCATAGAAGCATGTACATACAGTGGCAGATCAAGTAACACATTTCTAGTGTAAGGTGATTTTCCTTGAACAGAAAATCTTTAGAATGAAAAGTGAGCTTAAACTGGAAAATTATAACTTGTTATACCACTGTGTGTACTTAAATCATGAAAGTTCTTTCGTCATTTTATATAAATGCCAATGAAGTCAACTAAATTCTAGCTTGGTACATCTGTGTTGAGATGCCCTAAACTTTCATGCTTAAATAAGAAAGGATACAGATAAATTTTCCTACATCAGAAAAACTAGCCTAAATCTTAATAAATAATGAATATTTAATAAAAGTATCAAAACCTGTTTTTCCTAAAGCCGGTGTTGCCTTCCTACTATTTTTTTAGTTTGTTCAACTTTCGTTAGCCAGACTAGTATGAACAGTCTTTGAGCAAAGCCAGATGAACAGACGGACGTCTAGACGTGGCAAGAAACCATAACAGTCACCCCAGAGCTATTTTTTTATAACAATTAAAGTTTTTATGACCTTGTGAATTATAAATCATGCATTTTGTTTTTTTTTAAGGAATATGTTTTTTTATCTAGTATAGGGGTGAAACAAGTAGTTCACCTGATGGTAAGTATCTAAAGCCACTCATGAACACCCTTTCAGTCCCTCCCCCCAGATTGAGGCGAAGGGGTTAGACTGCGGTAACCTCACTCACTCGGTGAAAAGCACCGGAAAAACTGCTTACGACCGGTTGTCTGTAAGACCATTCTTCCACTCTAATCAAGCCTGGCCCATATGTGCCAAAGTACGGCTTTTCCGCATATAGGATACGTGTAATTAAAAAAGAGAAGTACTTCTATAGTCAAGTGTAAAATAAAACTGAAATAAATTGAACTTAATTTTTTTTCAAATTTCTAAAAGTTTTAGTATGAATATATATATATATGGATCATTTAAAAAGTGTATTTGGTATTCTCAAATTTTCTTTTGGAAAGATGTCTCGCGGAATCTGATTGAATATCAAATTGATGAGCGACTATACGTGTAATTTTAGTTAGTTATTTAGGTAGTTAGTAATTTTATTATTTTTAATATAAATTGATTGCCTCAAAAACAATATTATAAGGATAAAAATATTTAGCATTATTCGGTTACCTAATTTAAATAGCAATTTTAATCGATCCTAACAATTATCGATTAAAATAGTTATTTTCACTAGACTTGAATCGATCTTGGTTAGGATAAAAAATTACGAGCATCACTAGCGTCGAGTTATATTTTAGTCGACTTCTCAGTCAAGTAGTCAAATCTGAAGTGAATTGTGCTGCTGTATTTTCTTAGAAAAACAAACGTCGTCTAATCATTGTCTCTGGTGAATTAAAGTGGCCATTTTTTTCGGAAAAAAAGTGGGAAGGGAAAAATAGATGTCAAATATTTCAAGGCTACAGTGTGATGATTCCATTTTTATCCAAACCAACGTGATAAACTTTTTAACAAATAAAATAAATAACAAATTAGTGTCCGGGACAAGAACTTACATTCTTATTTGATGTGTTGTGCTCGTTTCGCCGACTGTAAACACAGTTAACGCTGAAGATAAACTACGAATTTAAGATGGGCTATTATTGTACAGTCCCGCAGTGCACATCGTTAGCCGGCAAGACGAAAAACGTGAAGTTTCACAGGTTTCCCCGCGATGAGACTATGGCAGACAAGTGGAATGGGATTTTAAAGCGAGGAAAACCGTACACGAAATATTCCAAAGTGTGTAGCTTGCACTTCACCCAGGCCGATTATAACGTCACGACTATGGGTAAGAATAAAGGTATTTCGGGTTTTTCCACGTCTGATTAAAACATTAATATTTCATTTCCGATGACTCACATATCACTATAGTTGCTTATTTATTTTGCCTCCAATAAGACTCTTATGTGTATTTATTTTGCAAATAATAACCATACTTTCGCTTCGCCGAAAGGCCGAATGTAGCATGATCGTTGTCATTTTTGTTTCAATAAACACGTACATAATTCGGAGGCAATGAAAAAAACAATGATTGTGTCTCTATGCTACCTTTTTTGTCTATTTCGGAAATGCAACTATGATAGATTATTTCATCTGTAATTATAGCAAAAACTGAACTTAAACTTTGTAATTAACCTACAAAACACAAATTTAACAAACATTCTGTTATTAATGTTCAGTAGACGGATATAATGCACTTTTGGGAACTTATTAGCAATTCAAGTTTAAAGTTTTGAATTTTTCTTATTGGAATTGTTGTGCCAATATCTTTTTGACTTTTATGACTCATACAAGTTATTATCACTGACAGTTACTAAAATTTATCTTGATGCAATTATATTATTATATAAATATTATTTGAAAATGTAATACTGAGAACATATTTATGGTGATCCTGTTTTTTTCTTAAAGCTTGGAATAGAGGGGTTTTGATATGGATGTCTTCAGAAGAGTTTTATACAATTTTAATGCGTAACTGCAGTATTATTGACAGACTATCACGACTTTTGATTTTATTGCATAAGTCATTGTAACTGACTGTTACATCATTTAAATCTATCCATATAAATAAACAAAAATCAGTATTTGTCCTATAAGTATTCGGAAACCCTTGATTAGATTGTGATGAAACTTTGCGGCAAGTTTTTTATTTTAGTTTTTAATGAATTTTTTATTTGTTTTTTTATACTTTATGTAGCATTGCAAAGGTTCAGATAGCATTTTATAATATAAGTATTAATAAAAATAAAAGCAAAATCTATAACTCAGTCTCTATTCTTACCTTGTTTTTCTTGTATTATTAGCAAAACTATAACTGACTGCTTGTTTGCCACATAAACAAAAAAAAAAACGAAATTTGTTTTCTTTTAAATGCTCCATGGGTAAAAGCTTCTTATAAGACATCACCGTCATCATCTTCTTACCCTATTTCCCTAGAGACAGTCTTTTTATATTCTGAAATATTATGAACTCTCCAACTCGGAAGAAACTATTTGTAAATGGCAAATTTTTGTACTGTATAAAAACCAACCTCTTGATATTCTATGTAGTATAATAATAATATTTTAACACATTTAACACGTGACCGTCTAATCCGTAACTGGGCAGAGCCTGTACTATGGTAACCAGACTGCTGAGAAACATACTTATATATTTCTAAATACATACATATTATTGATAAAGACATCCAGACACAGAACAAATAACCATGCTCATCACCCAATTATTTGTCCGGAGTGGGAAGTGAAACCACAACACCTGGCGTACCAGTCAGGGTTACTAACCACTATACCAACAGGTTCGGGTATCAAAAACTATTTTCCCCACTTTTAATACTAATAACCTAAGAAATCTTACATTTGATCCTAAACTATGTACAGCTGTTGCTATGGTAACCAGACATTAAACTGAATTACATCCAGTCACAAAACGAATGATCATGCTCTTCACACAGATATTTCTTTAGACCACTAATCACTATATCGACAGGGTAATCAATAAATATGAAGCATTTGAATACGCAATTAAGAGGACACTCATTAAAGCTTACCAGATTTGCCTAGAAGACGGTGTCTACCAAATCGTGTGGTGTCCATTTACAATAATTTGATGGGAAGTTTAATTAGTGCTAGATCAGTGAACATTTTAAAAATATGTGTAACTAATAATAATAACAATATTTCTTTAGTATCCCTAGACGGTACACAATAGCTGATTAAACACTCACATTTTGTAAACTTTAATTAAACGCTTTATCTTAGCTTCACTTGTATGTTTGTTTGTATGTTTGTAACCGACTCCTTTGGGCGTGATTTTGACTGACTTTAAACGGTCAGAATTCGTTCAAACTTTGTACATATATAGGGGACCGATGACAATACAGTAATTTAAAAAATAAAAAAATAGAAAATAATTTTGAAAAAAAGCGTGGGGTGCTTTTTACTATTGACAACAGGCACCCAACGCTTTTTTTCAAATTTATTTTCTATTTTTTAGTTTGGTTTTCTATAGAAAACGTGTTTTTTAGTTTTTTAAAACTATAATTTTTTTAGTCCCACTTTCGTAATAGGTGGCAAACCTATAGCCTTCAACATCTAATTACACCCAGACACAACAAATGATCATGCTTATCAGCCAATAATTAACATGGGTGGGAATCGAACACCTAGACCCCTAGTATCTAGACAAACACAGTTTTTTTTTCTTAAAAAGACAACTGCACTAGGAATATATCCTGTCCTAATCTGGTATTTTACAAACATACATGAAATGGACACAAACACACGCAGACTTAGAACAACAAATTGTGGATCACATAAAGTGTTGTCCCATGTGAGGATCAATCCCACAACACTTAGCGTAGTAGTAAGCGCCGAGGTGACCGCTTAAACCACGACACCAACTATGATCTAACATGCAAATAATTTTTTAATATCATATTCTGTATCAGTGTATGTTCACTGTGGATATTATCTATTAATGCATGTTTCCTGTAATTAAACTGACATACAATTCCTCATTCAAGTTTTTTTTTAAATGTACATATAAATTTACTCACCCTGTCTGACTGACTAATTCAATGCAGAGCCTAAATAGCTGGGGCTACAAACTTAAAATTATTCAGCTGATGATTTTCATGTTGTAAGCATCCTATGAAAAAGGATTTTTGAATATTTCACTCCTAAGGGGGTAAAATAAGGAATGAATGATTGTATGCAGGTTCGTCATTTTCAAAGTTTAAAAACACGAAATAAGAAAAAATCACACGAGGAAAACCGGGTGCAATAACTAGTTATATTTTTTTTTGAAACGTCTACGAATTGTTAAATATTCGTTCGTTGTAATTCTTAAGTTTTTCTGTGTCATTCACCTCCTGCAGAAATTAAATTTATTGGTATTTATTCTAAAATACGCAAATATTTAAATCAAGCATGTGACATAATGAAACAAATTTTAATATATTATATTTTAAAAATACACTGTTGTCAAATATTAAATTTTCTAAAGATTATGATGCAGGTAATGACGAGAATGAAGTAAAAAGAGTGCAGAATTACCAGACTTTGGCTTTCTGATAACATCATCATCTGCCTACCCTTATCCCAATTTTATAGATAAATTACATCCAGACACAGAACAAATGCTTGTGATCATCACGCAATTATTTGTCTTGGATGGCAATCGAATCCACGACAGCAGTCAGAGTATCAACTACAAACAAACCCAGTCTTTCCTCTTTTGATAATGTTGGCATAAACAAATTGTAAATCATCAATTTATTCTATTAAAGGTATTGTAGAACTTTCTTGGTAAACAAAAACACCAGGTCCGACAGAAGATTTTCGGAAGACTTCTTTCCTCGCCTTATTCCCAAATTAGCTTGGGTTCGGATAGGATACGGGTGAACTTCGATTTGTTACGCGGAGCGTCTGCCATTGGAGCTCCATAACCTAAGTACTAGGCGATATCGAAGTTCTGTAGAGAGACTGTTGTCAGACTCTTTAGGGCTCCAACTAACCGTAACAATTACCACAGGATCGACGGCTTAACGCGCTCTCCGAGGCACCTAGGGTCTCACTGTGTTGAAAATGGTTACCCATCCATAGACTGACCGGACTAGGGTTACTGCACTTTGTAATGTGTTAACTTACTTCGGTTACCACTTAGCCTCGAGCTCCCCAGGAGTTTTTCGGCAGTAATAATTTAAATATCCATACATTTAGTAATCGGTAAAAACTATTTGTTGTTTAAAAAGTTTGTCTATTGAATAATAATTTCGAACTGGTTTTAATACGCCTCTGTTATCGGAAAAAGACGAAAGTGTATGTTAATACTTCATGGTTTGTAAACGAAATATTGTAAAGTTAACGTCAACCGTCTCTATGACGTTATTTTTTTCTGTCTCATTCGTTACTGTTTAGCTGCGTGAATACGTTCTCACATAAATCTCAGTTAAAAGTTCTCTTTCATAATCCAACAGGGCCTCAATTCTGCTATTTTATGTTCACGCCAAGCAACTGTCATACCACTGGCACGCTATTGAGATGCCATCGAGTGGCCATTGGCATCGGTATAAATATCGGTAGTCTACACTAACTCAGTGTCTTTACAGTGGCGATGGAATGGCAGTGGCTCATCAGTGGTGATATCAAAAAGATTGCCATATTTGGAAAAATAAATAAATCATTTCCTTATAATTTGAAAATATATTACGTGGCTTGGCGTGAACATAAAATAGCAGAATTGTGGCCCAGGTTATGGGCCCAGAATTTCCTAATAAGCAAGTGTTTTTACAGCGTAAAAGAGTATTTGGAAAGTAAATAAAATACTCTAAAATAATAAATTCTATAATTGTTATAACCAGATTAGACAAAATAAAAAAAAATGAAGGATGAAATAATAGTGTCCTCTTTTCTTCCATTTTCTAATAATATAATATGTTTATGACTACTAAAATAAATATAATTAATCAATCAAATAATTAAAATAATAACTAAAAAATTATTAAAATAATAAATGACGGACATTTCATTTCTTTTATACACTATTAAATCTATTTTAAAATTATGAACAAATATAAGTTACAATATTGATTATAATTAATAATATAATAATACATGACATGCATAGTTACCATAATTTTATCCTACTATATTAATTAGAAACAAAATATACTGTATATGTGGTTGTGTTATCTTCCTCTCTCCCAAACAAACTGTGCTGCGCCCGACAGGGTCCATTAATAATTGTTGCCGCTTGAATTGTTGTCACCCAAGGATATGGATGGAT